AATACCCATTGCGGACGATCTGGATGGGTGGGAGGTTGTAATGCTCCCATGGTCTTGGGTTCGATTCTTAGCTGGGTTATCCAAAAAAAAAAATAAAATAAATATATTGCATTCCTAGGTCACAACACCACTTCTTTAAATTAGAGAAAAGATGGAAACTAAAAATAAGCCAACTACATAAGCTGTATTAGTGTATTATGAACACCTGACTTGAGTGGATAAAATCAAGAAAAGAACAGAACCAATAATTTGAACAGATGTTGATCTGATTATGGTATAACAATTCCTCATGCCTACCAATTCCATCGTCCGGCTTGATCCCATACGTCACCAAATCCTGAATAAAAAAGAAATCTCGGAAAACATTTACTTCTACTTATCCACCCAACTAGCACAAGCTTTAAATAATTCAAGCAATTAATGGAAATAAAAAGTACTAATTAATGACAAGGATTTTTGGCGCAAGATATTAATCATTAATGTCAACCCAGATGCAGAGCCACAGAGTCAGATAAGGTCACTGTTCTCCGATAAATATCGAAAAAACACTAGGGGCACACCTTGGGACACACTCCCAACCACACCCCTCACCTGCTACAGTGCAGGGGGGTCCCACTTGAGATTTTTTAAAAAATCTCAAGTGGGACCCCCCTGCACTGTACCAATGTGTGCCCCTAGTGCTCCTCTAAAGATCGCGCACCCGCTTCTATCCGTTGGTTTTTAATGAGGAGTAAACAACAACAAAAAAAAAAAAAAAATCTTAAAACGCACGTGGGGGAAAACGTGACAATTTTTGAGGAAAACTGCTGGCGGGAAAAGGAACCAAATAACGTGCTGCTGCCGGAAAGAGACGAAGGAAAATTTATGTCCGAAAAAATAAAACCAACGTGACGAAGCTTCTCCTATTATTTGTAACGCGTAACGGCTCTTGATACGATTAGTAAACGTGCCTTAACTCCTTTACCCACTTTGTCATATTATTATATAAAGAGAGAAAAAAAAATCAAAAAAATTCCTATAATCAGATGTTGTTAAGTTTAGACTATATATATTAGTTAAATTATTGTGGTTTTAATTTGTGTGAAATTGTCATCTATAAAGTACAGACTTATTGTTTGGACTTAGTTCATTGTGAAAATTATTATAGATCTATTGTTTGGTGTTTTGGTTCTTTGGATTATAATTAATGCGGATTACAAATTCAAAGAACTACAAATAAAACAAGAAAAAAATTTGTATTTTCTAGGTTCTTTTCCATGTGGTGATAGATCATCAATCCTGTACTCTGTTGATGGTTCGACTAAAGCGTTGAGTCTTCTTCTGATTGAAGATTGCTGAGACTCTTTCGAAGATGCCGAAGTCTTCAAGTAGGTAGCTTTTTTGAGTTGTTAAATTGCTAAGTTTTTCAAGTGTCCCCGAAAAACAAGAAGGGGGAGATTGTTGGCCTTCTTGTTTATATGCATGTGAATTATAATTTATATATTCATTTCCTTTCATGCATATATCATTTTTATAAATTGTTTGTCATCATCAAAAAGGGGGAGATTGTTGGCCTTCTTGTTTTGATGATGATTTAACAAATAATTTACATCTAATATTGTTTGTCTAGTGTTTGTATTTTATTATTTATTGTAGACAAACAACATATTGGAGGATGGATGGAATAACGCTTCAACGACGATATCAAATGGAGGTTGACGGAATTGTGGAGTGAAGCTTATGCAATTCAAGTTCAAGATCCAAGTTCAGCTTCATCCGCATAGTGTACCAAGTCAAGCTTATTGAAGATCAAGATCGGCTTGGGTAATCTAGTTTAAGTTTTATATTATGTGTGTTAGATACTCTAAGCTCAATATCATATACACACACATTTTATTGGTTTCCTTGTATATATATGTAGTCATATATATATACAACACAAGTTTTGGTTTTTATGTTTATAAATATGAAATTACATATTTTATATTTATTATTGTGATTTGGTTTAACTACTTAGATATGAAACAAATATATTTTCATATACATACTCATATGTTTCATTTTCTATTGTATTTATAAAAATATTGTATTCTTAGTTTTTGGACTTAACAATAATCATATACATATTTTATTAAATCTACATAATCATTGTCCAAAGTTTCAAAACATGGTTTAGCCTAAATGTCAAAATTCATATGTTTACATTTTCGTGTTTTGGACTATTTTACAAAATGATGATATTTCTCATTTGGGAAGTCCTTTTTATAAACCAGTTTTTGTAGCATGTTTATTATCATGTCTACAATCATTTTCCAAAGTTTTATATTTTTTGGAATTTATTTGATATATTTAAATAGTGTTTTAAAATTAGCATTTCACTTTCAAACTGTTAATTTCATATATCAGTTCACGGTCGACCGCCATGATCGACCGTCAGCCAGAATTTTCCCACGGTCGACCATCACGGTTAACCGCCAAAGTATCTGGAAGTTTTCTGAATTTTAAAGCTGGCTCGCGGTCAACCGCGAGTTTTCCACGGTCGACCGCCGTTCACCCCAACGGTTATTTTGTACAGAATTTGATTTTCGATTCTGTTGATTTTTTGGTCTTTTTTTTTGGGGTTTTTGCTGTTGTTTTCTCTTCCTATATAAACCCCCAAACCCCTTCTATCTCAGTAACCCAATGGAAAGTTTTAAAGAAGTTTAAAAAGAGTGTTAACAAGGGTTTTAGTTGGGTTTAAAGTTTGTTTGGTTTATGAAGATTGTTTTACAAGTGGAGAAGATCATCTACATTGTTTGAGTTTTATTTTAATCCTCCTCTCCATCTTGTTTTTCAGAGAAGATTTCCTAAACTCTATTTCTAACTATTTACTGTTTTATTCATAATTTCTATATGCTAGAATTATATTGAGTTTAGTTTTGATTTGTTTCTCTTTGCTTACACACACACAACCATTGAGCTTATTGTATTTACATTCATAGTATAATTTGGGTTGTGGGGTTATAACAATTGAGTGTGAGCTTTCATTGTGTTCTCATCCATAGTAGAGAACAAACATTATTGTGAGATACACTTCGAATACACTTGTACATGTGGTGAGAGTCGGGGATCATCCCAAGAGGAGTGGCGTCGGTTGACGAACCTAGGGAGAGGTTGTAACTGATCACTTGAGGGAGACACGGCTAGGTCCAACACTTGTGAGGGTGCAAAATGGGTTTGCAAGAGTGTGAGTTGTAGAGTTTTCGGTTAGCTAGAAAACCGAGTGTGTAGAAGTTCCGGCTTTCAAACCGGATTGTGATAGTGGATTTCTCCCCGGGAGTGGGGATCGGAGACGTAGGACGGAAGGTCCGAACTCCGTGATCATATAGTGTGTTTGAGTTTGTCTTTGGCGCAATTGCTTATGCATTCATCTTATATCGCCAATTGCCTATACTTTGCCCCTATCACATTCCGGGAGTGGGGAGCAGAGACGTAGGACGGAAGGTCCGAACTCCGTGATCATTTGATTGTGTTTGAGTGTACTTTAGCGTTTATTCTTATTTGTGCTCATTGCTCATATCGCCATTGTCTCATTAGTTACTTTGCCCACTATCTTGTTTATGTTTATTTCACCCTTGTGTTAATTTGTATATCCTTGCATATATCTCATAGTATATCTCATTGCTAGGATATATCTCATTGTTCATATTGATTATTCTTGCCTATAACACTTGTATATCTTTCTTGCAAGAATAATTCTTTAGTAAGTTTTAATTGGCATAAAATCGGATTAGATTAGCATAAGACCCTAATCACCCCCCTCTAGGGTCTAACAGAGTCTTCTTCTGATTGAAGATCACCGGGGTTCTTTTGAAAATGTTGAAGTCCTCAAGTAGATAGTTATTCCGAGTTGCTAAATTGCTAAGTTTTCAAGTGTCCCTCTCAAAATGGGCAATCTCCCCTCCTCTTATAGGCTAAGAGAGAGAAAGAGAGAGAGAAAGAGAGGGTTAGTGGCTATTAAATATGGATTTAGTGACCATTAACTTAGAAGATAATGAGAGAGAACTGTAGTTTTCACAAATATAGCTCTTAAAATGGTCAATGGCGAGCTTCGCTAGTAACAATCGGGGGGGAAAAAGCAGTCATGAGCGAAATTCATTCTAGCGAACTTCACCAAAACGTGGCCAGCCCATTCCCCCTTAGGGCACCAATGATGTGGCCCACATGGGTCTTTTAAGTGAAGTCTGCAGGGTGGGACTTGAGCGAGCTTCACGATGGTTCAGGTGAGCTTCGTTATTGGCTTGCGTTTGAGCCCATATAAAGTGTTCAGCCCATAGGCATTCACTTCTTAGAGTTGGACCAACAATTAGTCCTGAAGATAGTATATTTTAACTATCTACAATACCCCCCCCCACCCCCACCCCAAAGTTTTCAAGATCATATTTTTGACTTGTAACATGGATCGAAATACTTTGAGTAATAACGAGGGGTGTACTATTAAATATGGCT